AGTCTTTACCGACATTTCACATATGCATATGGACAGGACCCTGTAGGAAAAAATTATACCCTTGAAATAACTGATGGTGAAACGCTTGCAAATGATAAAGTAATGGAATGTTTTGATTCATTAGAGTTATTTGGATGGTGGTTCAGGAAAGAAGGACCGACTATATACTTGTACTTCGATAACAAAATAAATTCGAGAAAGGCAAATAATTGGGTGGAATCAAATCATCCGGATGTAAGGGTTTGGGAAATAGAGAAAAGAAAAAGTTGGTCATAATATTATTTATAGGTTCAATTCAAATTAATATTCTACCCTTAATATTACTAATACAATAAAAAAACGTGGATCATCTGTTCCGGAAATTTTTTTAAATGCTCTTCGAAAGAAAGCAGACAGGGCGAGAAAGATTTATGATTTTTTTTTTTTCGTATTAGTGATGACAAAATTCAACGGATAGTATTCATCCAACGAATTAAACGTTTCGGCAACATCTATTTCAAATTTAAGTTCGGATAATATCAAATATGTAGCATCTCATGTTAGAAAGTATAAATACAATGGTTATGTGATGGCAGAATCCCGAGATCGAGCCATAATGGCGCATTCTCGAAGTTTTGCACTTTTTTTTATATGTAGTATTGTAAGGCATTATGCTTATTAAATAAATAATTAATAATGTTTACCCATAATAGGTTTTATATTTTAACATAAATACGGGTAGTTGGGTGTGATGTACTTTGATCTAATTTTCTGTAGCTACGGCAAAGGGATATGTGGTCGCGATTCAATCGTGATTGGTACATTTTCAGAAAATCGGGTGATCCCCTTATCAATTATCAACAATTACTCCCATGCTTTTTTTTTCTGCGAAAGTATACGCTATTCGTCTTGAGTAGGACATTGGCTCTAGGAATTCTTTATTTCTATCACTCTCGTCGAATAGTGTCGTTTTTGATTTCTCCGCCTAATTAATAATAAATATACTGTTCGTCATTCGTAAGCAAAGCCAAGAATAAACGCATCTGACATATGTCCATTTGGAATGGACATAAATTCCAAATGGACATACAACACAATGTAACGGTAAGGCGACACCATTCGCAGTAAAAAAAATTGCCTACCTCTTCTCATTTGCAAAATCTTTTAACCAACCACTACGAAAGCCTCTAACCGAAACCAACGTAGGAAGCATGAAGAACAAGTAGACCCAGCAATAGAAAAAGATCTCTGTAGCGAAATATCCTACAAAAGTGAGTAAAGGGGTTTTAGCTAGTGACCGGACATATAAAAAACAAAGCTTGAAGTATAGGGGCAATTATCGCCTTTCGAGGGGCCGATTGAACCCTCCCTTGCAAAGCTTTTTTATTAAGGGCGTGGTTGCCAAATTATCATTATCTTTTAGCGAGGAGAGGTAGATTCGATAAGCTACTCGCTCAACCACTAAGCTATTAGATGATACTCAAACAGTTTTGGTGAAACGCCAGAATTATTTATTTCCGAGGTAAGTAATAATCGATAGTATTAATTACAGTGATATTTAATTTGACGCTGTATTTATTTTTATTTAATAGTTCAGAAATCATGTCAAGTGCATAATAATAACCAATGATGGCATCCTTAAAATTTATGGAGTCACACAAGACCCAAAAACAAAAGAATACAACGATTGTTATGCAATATGCTAACAATGGTAATCTTTTGTCTTATTTGGAGCAAAATATTAACAAATTGACATGGTACAGGAAATTATGGTGTTTGCGAATGATCCGTGTACTATCCATGATGCAGGATTTGTACATTGTGATCTCCATGCCGGAAACATTGTTCTCGACGACTATGGCATTACAAAAAAAGAGGTTCAAGCAAGTAACTCATATCTTGGTCTCTCACGATCGGTGAATTCGCGCGAGTCAACCGTTCGAGGCGTTTTACCCTTTATTGCACCGGAAGTCTTTCATACCGGCAAATTTACTCAGAAATCAGACATATATGCAGTTGGTATTATTGTGTATTTGATTGCCTCTGGTAAACCACCTCTTAGAGATAGGCAGTTCGATAGAGATTTAATATGCAGCATTATGACCATTGATGCCTGATTCTGCACCAGATGAATACAAGAAACTTGCCGAGCGCCAGGTTGGCAAAGGGTGATAATTATGACAGCAACGTATGGAATGCCGTTTATCATAATAATGTAAGACTTTTGTCACGTCTAGAGAAGGAGAGTAAATATTCTAGTAAGCTCTTACCTACAAGAGAATTACCTAAACCAAGAAATAGGATTCAGCTGCAGGTATGAAGACAAGAATTGCATTACGTGCTTAAAGTCAATTTTGTATACTGTATATTATCTGTTTTCTTCAAACGTTTGAATAAAAACTTGTGACTCATGGTTTATTTATAGCTTATACGAACTTACAGTATTAATAAAGAGTAATTAGCACAAGATGTTGATGTAGTTTGCGTGGCGTAGGGTGTCGATTTTAAACTAAAAGGCAAGTACCTTTGACATGTCTTACGAATTCTTCCCCTCGATAAAAACTCATTACTGTTTTTCTTAGCATGACAAGATGAACACTTCAACATTTTGTGCAAGCGACAAGCTGATAACAAATGCATACTATTTGGAACGTGTTGTGTTTATTTATCTCGGCTTATGCATATTTACAAAAAGGGAAACGCATAACGATCTAATTAACTTTCCACATTTTTTGTTAATTAACGAAAATTACTACAAATTTATGTGTACACAAATACGTGCTATTATTACGTTTGTCAAAAAACAGACATAGATGAAGTTATTTACTACTTGCTGAGAAAACTATTAGCGTGAAAGTATTAGACATTTTCTACTGTTCTACATATAGCACAAAAATGAGGCAAAGCCATCGCTTGATATATATATAGTACGTTTAGTGTTTTTCTTTTGCCATTATCAAATAAACTGTAACAGACATAAATTTGACAACCATCGTTTAACTAGACAAAATAAATTTTTAAATTTTCATAGTCATTTGACAAAAGTGTAGCCACGTGAGATCAATCACATAGAAAGATTGTCCGTATTCCGCTTCCAAAAATAGTAGCGAGAGGTCGGCAATTCCGCAAGACAATTTCTGGAAATGATCTACGGATCAGCGGCGGAATTTTGGGGGTCGCTGTGTGAGTTTTTTTACTTGACCAAACCTAGCTTTCAACATGTGATTTCCTTCACTCACAATCTCTGTTAGTTTTTTTCCATATACCATAAATCCAAAAATGCAAAAGATGCCGAATGCTCCATAGTGTAATCCGTATAATATATTGATATATTCATTTAAATACCAAACTAATTTTTCACCAGTCTGCGACATTTTGACTTTGTTTTTTCATAAGTACATGTCCTATTAATATAGACGTGACAAGTACAAAGCACAGGAATAGACATGTAAAAAAGAGGTATGCAGTTGTGATTGCGCGGAGTTTGGAAAGGTAAAGTGTATGCTTATAAACTGGGTTTTTGGAGATAAAAACGTAGTCGAGGGATTGTTCTTAGTACACAAGCAAGGTATGTTGCTACTGATATAGCGCCGAAATACCAAGAGATATTGTCTATTAATGAGCGAATAAACTATTGAGATTGGAACAAGTTGTAAATTAGGATTATGGAAATAGCGATACGGGCTATATATACGTGGGTGAATTTAGATAAATGTTAGTAGGTGTTTGTTGTTCAAGAGCAATAGATTACCCAAATGCTTTTACTCAATTCAATTACACTTACATCTATTCTATAGTATTTGAATAAACAGAAATCCTTCCACCGCCAGAAATCCACCCGGCGTAAAAAATTTAGATTTGGAATTGCAACAGAGTTTCCAGGCTAGCAGCCATGTAGAGCGTAGAAAAATAACTAGTGCCAAATATGCAGATGTTTTTGTATATTACTCGGAAATAGCGTCTTTACAATCTGTTAAATCGATGAGCCATCTGTATTTATTATTGGATAATTAGCTATTTATAACTTGTGGGATACACATAATTGTTTATTGATTATTTTAATGCGGTCGGCACCCCGATCTGAACTACTTACGGCAATGTGGAGGTCCTCAGATGAGTTTGTCTGTGGTGATATTATTGCATCTTGGATCCATTATTTGACTTTTGTTCAACTCTTTTTTCTTTAGACTGCTTAATACTATGTATAGTTTGATCCTGTGCGTTTAATATTATTACTGGCTGTGATTTCGCAATACGCCCGCCCGATTGTTACTGGTAATTGTCTATATGTAACGTTGTCGTTATTAAGCTATTTTGCTTATAGTTTAAAGCGAAAGTAATTCCCAATTATGGCGTATCTAATGTTCTTTTTCTAATACTCAATTTCATCGATCGCTAATCGAAAGCAATTGCTGCTAAAAGGGCGTAGGAGGATTCTTTATAAATAAAACTAAGAGGTACAATTATTACGGCAATTTTATTGTCACTATGTGCTTATATTCCTTTTACACTTTTGTTTATACTTCTTCATGTCGTGTAACATGACGCAATTTTTTGATGTATCGGAAGCTGGAAAGTTTTGAAAAATTGCTCAACGAATTCGAATTATTGAAGAAATCTCACTATCGAAGTGCGTTGTTAGCTGTAGTCTGCATGTGGAAAGAACAAAAGTCAAGTCTATATATGCCTTGTAATATGTGAGTCAATTGTTAATATGTTTTATTCAATTCGGAATTTTGTTCGGTCGTGATGGGCATCAATGCCAAGAGGAAAAAGACTTACCGGAATAGATTAAAGCTTTTCAGGGTGCACATTTTTTCACAGTTGTTAATTTAGTTTAGAAAAATTTAAACGGTAATCTGATTAAACTAAGAAAATAATTGATAAGATAATCTGTGACAATGGCAAATTTAAACCTTTTCGGAGAGTAAGTTACACAATGTAGTTATATATAACTATAAATCTATAACTTTCTCATTATTGAACGCAAAAATCCTGGTTTAACCATTTTGGCGAAATAATAGGTCTTGTTGAGCCAGAATGAGATTGTTACCCTTTATAATAATAAACACACATTCCTTCAGTAAAAACTTTCCAGCTCATAACTTATCCTATTTAGCAATAAATTTACAGTCAATACCACTAATGTACCACCACTATACTGCATACTCTATTTTGTTAAATTATGTAAATGTATTTATTCGAGATAGCTTCATCTTTAACATTTATTCAATGGATAAAGATAAGTAGTATAGTATGCGCGAACAGTAGAAACACAAAATATACCAAAGTCATCATTAGTAAGATAACGCAAAATCCTACGTGAAATAGCTAGTATTTTATTGGAAGACTGGAAAGCATAATATTATTTGTATCAAACACTTATAGTATATAAAAAGGAATTGTTATGTAATTGTTCCAGATAATGTATACAAACAATCAGCGGCGAATTGAACAATAGTACGTAAAGTAATTTAAATTCCATGTCTACCTGATTTGAGCAAACTGTCGACTTTTTAAAAAACCGGCATGTCAAAACGTTGGCCTTTTAATTAGTCCGTGACTGGGGTCCAGCCCTGTCTTATGGCAACCTTTATCGTTAAAATGTCTACATATTCCCCAAGTATGACAATAGTTGTCAATGCATATTTTTTTCTATCATCATACAGGTAATATACCTAGAGAGAATGTTTCATAATGATTGATACAAAGGTGCAATTTAACAACGTCAAGGGGACAGCTCACAACAGTAAACAGGTTGGCTTGGGGTTGTGTTACGCAGTTAATAGGTAACCTCGGGTGTATTTAACCTACCACTTGCATAAAAAAAGTGAACTAACTGATGTCTGGTTAATTATTTAAATAAATTTCGACCGTTTAACAAACTAGAGGTACCAGCAAGAGGACATAATGCTACTTATAGAATGTTATGCGCTTAATGTTTACGCTTAGTTAAACCGTAAGCGTCCTGCATTTTCTGAATAAAGCATGACCTACGCCAAAACCAATTTGATAACTTCAGATATAACTTCAAATATTTATTACAAATTTTGCAAAACAAATAACAAACTATATTTACAACAACAACATTGATTACAGAAACATGCGGTAAAGATAAATAATTTTTTCCATTAGAATGTCAAAATTAATACAATAAGTAATTATTATTAAAACTAGTACGTTTTCGAGCCGTCCGTGACGTTTGTAAGACTTATCGAGTTACCAATTTAGTGGCTTTCGGTCACATAATCGAACAGTTGCTACCAGCTGGACCGTCATTTGGATTTGATCCGTAATTCGTAACCTTTTGAAGGGTTTCGACAATAGCGGCGAGGATATCGTTAGCTTGAGCGTTATTTCCGTCCATGTTGATCAGTTGTGTAGAGATGTGGTGTAAAGTGGTTTAAAAGTTGATTTTGTTGATTGTTTAATTGTTTGATTGATTTGCTTGTTCAATTTATTTGATTGACTTCGTTGGGCCTGCCTGCTTAGCAATGAGGAGAGAGGGGAAGATGCAAAACTTGTGCTTATATAGCTTACTTATGGTGCACGTATTTACACACACTAATATTGTCTTTAATTCAAACAATAGATATCAACCTTGCATATACGAGTTAAGTTATCGAATTGGATAGACACACCTGTGACATGATACAATGCATACCCTGCTTTTCACGCATGCTGCAAAGCAAATCTTGCCGTGCATGTGATGCTTATAAAATCATTTGATGTTCTTTGTGTTTCGGAGGTATTTCGGGGATGCGTAAGCAACTAATAATATTTTAACACAGTTTTGCGTTATCGCTGCTAATATATTTTCGCTAACATTCAAGGGCCGAGTTTTGCCGATAATAATCTATAAACAATTTTAACAATGCTATTTCCTACTACATTACATTCAGCATTATATTACCCTCACAGCCATCCCAAGGCAAAAATTTTGGACTAGTTACTTTGACCCTTAAGATAATAAAATAAATAATGTAACAACTCAATGATATTAACAATTGAAGCCAAAAATTACTAGGACATTCTAATTTAGAAACTAATAACAGGACTTTCCTCACTATCATCTATGTCGTAGTTGGAATTAAGTTACCTAATCGATCTTACAAATATTTATTAAAATTCAAACTTATTATGACTATTGGCTGTGATGCGGACGTTGAGAACGGAAATCAGAAACTCAGGGGCGATCGAGAAATAAGCAAAGAAAGCTGCAGAACAAGAATAAATCTTGTGGCGCACATAGCTTGACTCCCTTTAGAATAATCTCTTTTTGTACGAACCGATGCCTATAAAGCTTTACCACTATAAATGAAGCAAGTCACAACTAAGGACTGCTGGTTGTAAGAACTGGCTTTGCTTTGCCCGAGAAAAGAGAGTTATAAACATTCGTACGCATGGTTTTGAGATTATTACGATAAGAACACGCACGATATTATTTTGCAACCTCCGCACACGGTCATCTAATTTGACACAGCGCAAATAATTTCCATTTAATGACATACGCTAGGCAAAGTCTATGAAGTTAAACACCATTGTGCAGTGCAGCATGAGCATAAAATTACTAGGCATGCATTCTGGGAAGTCTAAATGAAGGAACAAATGATAAAATGAAAACATACTAACTAGTACGAATGCATACTCTTGTCACACATATTGTCACACTAATGCTTTTAGCCGAGTTCGTTTGCTACTTATCATAAAAAATGTTCAAGAAACTAGGAAAGCGAGCGCTTATCAGCGATTCACTTAAACGTGAAATATGTGCCTTTCATAATGATAACATGTTATGTACTCATGTTGAGATTGCGGCTCATTTCAACGCTACGTATAATTTCAACATTGACCAGACAACCGTCAATAAGATATTAAATAAGAAAGATAAGTGGCATTATGCTGAAGGTGTGTCTAAAAACGCTTTTAAGCATTATCGAATTAAAGCATGGATATTAAGCAGAAGGGGACATGCCTGCAGTACGCTTAAGAACTATGACAGGGCATTAAGCGATTTCAAAAGAGTGACAGAGATTGATCCAAACAATGCTTGTATTTTTAGAGCAAGAGGTACTATTTATTGCAAGATGAAGTATTATGACGTTGCATTAAATGATTTCAACAAATCATTAAAGATTGAACCGAATGATGCTTGGGCGCTGAGAGAACGGGGAGAAGTCCATCGTTTGCTTTATAATTATGATAGTGCGCTAGAAGATTTCGACAAATCGTTGGAGATTGAACCCGATCACCCTTGGACATTGAGCCGAAGGGGAGATGTTTATTATAGTCTTGATAGATATGATGAAGCATTGAGGGATTTCAATAGTTCATTGACGATTAAACCAAACCAAATATGGGCTTTGAACAAAAGAGGACATCTCTATTACTGGTTTGAACGGCATGAAGATGCGTTAGTTGATCTTACAAAGTCGTTAAAAGCCAAGCCTAAGAATGCATGGGTATTAAGAACAAGAGGAGCCGTCTATTTTAATAATAAGCAGAATAGTGCTGCTCTAGTAGATTTCAGTAAATCATTGTCCATTGAACCTGATGATGCATGGACGCTAAGTAGGAGGGGCGAAGTTTACTGTGCACTAAAACAGTTTACTAATGCTATTAACGATCTCAATAGATCGTTGGAGATTGATCCTAATGATGCGTTTGCATGGAGTAGAAGGGGAGAAGTTTATTGCGCACTAAAACAGTTTGATAATGCTATTAACGATTTCAATAGATCGTTCGAAATCGTACCTGATGATGCATTCACATGGAGTAGAAGAGGAGAAGTTTATGTTATGTGTCATGACTACGACAATGCATTGAATTATCTCAACAGATCATTAGAGATTGAACCAAATGACGCATTTGCATGGAAGAAAAGGGGATTTGTTTATCGAATGCTTGAAAAGTACGACAAGGCACTGTATGATTTCAATAAATCTTTAGCGCTTGAACCGCAAGATGCAGTCTCATTGAGGATAAGAGGGTATGTCCTTTACTGGCTTGATCGATATGATGATGCGTTGCTCGATTTTAACAAATCATTGGAGCTTGAACCAAATAATGCTTGGGCGCTGGCGCGCAGAGGGGAAGTTTATCGTATGCTTAGTCAATATGACAATGCACTGGACGATTTTACGAAATCGTTGGATATATGCCCAAACGGCGCAGCGGCATTGAGAAGTAGGGGCGAGATCTATCGTATTATGTCAAAGTATGAAGACGCATTGAGCGATCTTAACAAATCTCTGTCCATTGAACCAACTAATGCTTGGGCGTTGAGTTGCAGGGGATCCGTTTATTATTCGCTTGAACGATATGATAACGCATTGAGCGATCTCAATAAATCTTTGGAAATAGAACCTGATCATGATAATGGGTGGTCACATAAAGCAAGAGGAGATGTTTACCGCAAGCTCAATCGGTACGATGACGCATTGAGTGATTACAACAAGTCGTTGGATCTTAGTCCCCAACTAACGCATCTGCGTTGAGAAGAAGAGGACTTGTTTAATATATATAATTCGACGATGTATGGAGTTTCGTTGTTAGTCGTAAGGAAGAACTTGAATGCAGAGAAAAGCAAAGATGGAACCCAGATTAAAACAACGACAGAGGAACATGAAGAGAACGTGGCTGAATTTGAGGGCATAGAGGCTAATAATGGACAATGTGGAGTTAAAATGCGGGAACATTGATGTAGAAGGTATACGAATATTCGGATGGAGGGAAACACTGATTGAAAATTAGAAGACCAAAAGAAGAGGGCAAGATTTTTCTTAGAAATGCAAAGTAATGTTACTACTCCATACGTCTAATTTTATAATTTATCACAGATAATCGCAAGATTAATGACGGAAACTTGGTCGGGTGCCTGTGTAAGAGATATTGATAGTCATAATATAAGTAAGAATGCCTCGATAAACTAGGTGAAAGCAATTGCAAACAACTTGGTATGATATGTGCTGAATCAAGCCAATAATTGGTAGCAGTAAAAGAACTAAAAACTATTATATGGTTGTCATCATCGATCTTCACAATAAAACTAGGACGATAACTTACGTCAATGGCAGGATGTGAAACGCAAGAACAGAGTTATATTAAATCCAACCGTAATGGACAGACGTTTCAAGTGAAAAAGAAAAATAGAGAAATAAGAGTGTTTTTATGTGGCCTGTCTGAATCACAGCCAGCGAAGTTAATAAATGCGATAATCGAAGAAAGCATTTAGGGCTATTCCTATAAGTTAGTCATGTAAACTGCGGCATTTGGCTGAGCGGGACAACCCTTTCCCTGCCCTGTTACCATAACAATAGTAATAATTTCCCGCTCTGCATCAGTACAGTAAATATTTTTAAAGCTCAAATCAGTGCGGTAATTGCTTCTTCACATGTAGCGCGCCGTTGTTAAAATACGGATGTTTATGCTTTATTTGCAATGCGGCACCAAATTTAATCAGGCAATTCCCAATTCCTCCGATTCCTTAATCTTAGCAGACAGAAATTCAATGACTTGATCAATACTTCTATCCGACTTATCGAACAAGAGGCTACGAAATTCCTCCAGTATAGCATAGTATTTCAAAGGGGCATATTTAAGTTGTTTTTCAAATTTGTGATATATCATCACGAGTTTGTGGGCCATAATGTCTTCTGCGTGTATACCTTTGTTCCAAGTCGTAATACCATCACAAAGAATGTCCACAACGGTATAGAAAAGAGACTCGACGTCGTCGTCGAGAGTATATAAATAGGACTTTTGAGCAATCAGACACTCCATGATCTAAAAGATAATGGCTTTGAGTTAAATTCTGAAGAATAGAATACTAATTATAATACAGTGAAAGCAAGATACAATACGGATATAGAGCAGTATAATAATGTTGCTGATAAATCTTTCGACTCTCCAGAATTCGAATGTAATGCGATACCCCAATCGATGAGGTATCCATGGCCATTAAAGAGGATTATATTAGAGGGTTTGATGTCGCGGTGCAAAATGTTGTGTTGACTAGCCAATTTCATGGCCTCGGCGACATCTCGTATGGCACCAAGAACAACCCGCAAACCATGTTTTGATATTTCGAGGTGTTCACCATATGGTTTGATCACAATGAACCTATATACGCAGTATCAATCGAATATTAATTAAAAACAGATAAGGCAATATCGTCCAACCTAGCATACCTTTGACCATTTTCAAACGTTCCATAAAAATAGACCTTGGGAATAAACTCAATCTTAAAACAAGCAAGTTCATGAAGAATATTACGTTCTCCGTCACTAGTAGAAGACTTGACTATGGCCTTATTTCTTGCGGTGCGGTCACCAACTTCGCCAGCATGAGCAAGCCGATCGAATCCTTCTGAGTAAAATCGAGAGAAAGCAAGCCCGACCGCTTATAATTATGTCGCTTGTCCCTATATAACAATTCAATCTGTGAGTCACTTGCAATGGCCCCGAAAACTTCCTTCCTATCTTCTTGCTGATCGAAAATGTTCGAAAACTTATCTGCGAGTTGTCCTATCGCGTTATGGTGTTCGTCAGGAGGATTTTTGCCAGAAGTGTCTCCCTTGTCACCTATGCTAAATTTTAATTCGATTGCTGCAACGAGCTGCGGCCATGATGGGGTAGCTCCATCGAGGATGGCTAAGTCAATTTTGGCTATCGGGTCTTTAAAGTAGGTTTGACTCGACGAGTCATGAATAATCCATGGATCTTGCGGCATTTTTGAGAAGAACGCGTTAAATTTCTTTTGGGTGTCACTTTTACATTGACATAAAATTCTCAGGTCTTCCGATGATAAATCTAGACCACCAAGTATGTCTGTATTATTTTGAAAACGATCGAAGAAAAATTTCGAATTGATTTCAGCTGTTGCCAAGACACGAGCCGCAATGTCTAATGCTGATGTAATAGTGTGTTTTGATCTGGCGATTTGCTCACGAATTTCAGCATGCTCAGCTTCTCTCTCTCTCTCTTTCTCTTCGATAGCACATAACCTTTTGCGAATTTCGTTATCTTCCTCGGGGTATCTTTTATGAGAGACTATAAGAGAAGCACTATGAGTATTATCTTAGGTAGGCAATATCAATTGTATAAAAACAAACTTACCTGGCACTGTATGGTGATAAAATTGAAGGATGGCAAAGCAAGGTGAACAGAATAAACAAAACAATGCAAGCCAAATTATCAAGCCAGAAAGTATTGCTATCAAAGAGGTATGAATATGAATGGTTACATACTGAGTGATTCCTTGAGCTTTAATATACCATCCTCAAATGCTGCTTGCTGTATGACGTTTAGAGGGGGCAACTTGCCAATGTATTCACGAATAATGTTTTTATCAATCTTAATAAACTGGTTGAACATGTCCTCAGTGAAGCCTGCTTTAACAAGCTCTTTGTAGCATGTTCCTAGATTAATTTGGTCCAGGAAATCTTTAAAAGTAGGAATTTGTGGTTGCTGATGTGCAAATCAAAGGTTCAGGAATGTGAATTTGAAATGAATATGTGACTACAAATTCCAAGTACTTACTGGTTGAGTGGTGGTTGAGATTGATGCTCTGTATTCCTACAAAGACATGTATTGGATTAGCAGTGGAAAAGACAGTGGAAGTGACATTGACCAAAAAAGCTGGTTCTCCAACCTTCTGGCAGAATGTCAAAATTCACCTGATTATATACTAATACCATGTCATCACTTTGTATTGGTGATTGTGGTGGGTTCAGCCCCTAGATAGAACAATAATGTTGGTTTCTGTATTTGTATTAAAACAATAAATGAAATTTTTGCAATAGAAATCGTTAATTCACCTTGATGTTGATAAACATTTTATGTTTAGTAAGGCAATGACTGACAAGAACTTGGGCATTTTGCTCGTTGAAAGTTATATTGTTGAAGACTTTCTTTTTGTTGGTACAATAATTACATGCCCAGGTACCTTCCCTGACCATAGAACAATTCTGTCTGTAGAGCTTTTCCACATTAAACATGTTGACAGCCTAAAAATATGTATATTGCTGAGGATAAATAACTGTAAAGTTAAGAGGCAAAAATTGTTCATGATGGCATTTTTTATTACTCACGATTGCTTTCAATCCGAAACCCAGAAGGATGAGTATTGGCAATGGAAGAAAATTTGAACTACTAGCGCGTAGGGGACTAAACTTCGCAGGTCATGTGAATTTTGATCAACGAAAAACTTTGCAATAATTGTGTTCACATGCATGCAAATTTTGCATTTCCCCATTTGGACAAAGTTTAAAACACAACTTTCTAATAGGATTACCGTCCCAATTTGGAATAGTTACAGCAAAAGTCGATTATACAAGTCGGTATCGATTTATAGTGATAAATTTATTCATTACTTCAACTAAATTAACGATGATACCGGCGCAAAAAAGTTGATACACCAATATGCTTATAACAGAAAAAAAATTTTTTTTTTTGAAATTCATTCACATGCTTAAATAAATTGACTTACAAATTGAATGTATCAGTAGAAATTTATTAAAACATGTACGCAGACAAAAAAAGGTTTACTAGTCATCAATTTCTTCAACTTCGAGATCTTCACTGTCACTTTTGACTAATAATATCGTTTAAATTTTCCTTGGACGCTCTTGCATTCTTCGCTCTGAACGCTTTGAGATTTTTACCGTTATCATATTCAGCAACCTCCTTGCGTAGTGGCAAGTCTGGACGTTGCGTCTGGCACTGTCGAGTATTTAAAAAGTATTGGTGAGCGCGAATAATCATTCGTTTTTCGTTACTGGTTAAAGAACTTTGCTCTCTATCTAGGTCTTCCATGGGAAAGATAAATGATCAAGTTTGTCACGAATATTTGAAGTCGACATTTTCCTTACATTTTATTTGATTTGTATGCTCACATGATTGTATTAGCAAATTTTGTACATGTGAGGAATTTCAGGTGACGAATTTCGTGTATCAACTTGTTTGCGCCGGACCATAATGGTATTAAACTTATTTTTAATATTGTTAATCCATCGAAAATTATTTAAATCACGCTGTTCAACAACTACTGTATGTCGTGCATTTCTCTAAGATACCGTTCAATCTCGCCCTTTTCTGCCCTTGCTCCTCCCGATTATTGTTATCGTCTACTACTTCCGAATTGTCCCAAATATGTGCAGAAGTAGATTCTCCAATAGTATACATATTGATATGTTAGTGTTGAATAATATACAAGATAAAAATTAAACAAGGATTGCTTACCTCTAGCATTGCTAGGTGTAATAAAAAATCCATATTTTCACGACAGTATCAGCTTAATAAAGGACATACGAAACCATATATCTAATATCGCAAATACTACATCGAAGAAGTGGGTTGTTGTAATGCATTTGGATAAAATTAATTGGAAGTGAGATGTTTTATTACAGTAGCGTGTGCCATCTATCTTACAGTTTGCTCGTCAAAAGTTTAAATATCACCAACATACAAACCTTATAACTAATATTTTGAGTTGGCCGTCTGGCAAATAACTTGTTTTATGACATTATTAACTCGTTTATTTAAATATAAAAAAAACACAATAAATATTACGTAAAAAAGTACTCGTCTATTATTATTATTTGCGCCATATGCTTGCAAAGTCTTGTGCTGTATTCAACTTGAATCTCTACCAAAATATATAGTGTGCAAAGAAAAAAATTGGCCTCCTCTTTTTTTACAAGATTTCGTGAATAACAGACTTTCTGCTGACAAAAATGATATATATTTATCTTGAATTTCCATTCCTGTTAACATCGCATTTTCTGCCTTTCTTTTATTCAAAACAATAATTACAAATTGCATGTTCATACTCTGAATCATCGTGCGGAATCTTTATTATGTGACAACCGCTACATCTTTTTCACTTAGTTCTTGAACAAACGAATGTGATAATGTAAGTATGAAAGCTATTGGTATAGTAACCAAGTTACGTGTAATTATTAGAATGTCTTGAGGTGGTTAACTGCGCTCATTTTGTTTTCTTAAAGGTATATGGGATAAACGGGTAATTTTAATTGGAATCGTATTATTGCGATGAGTATATGAACATTATGTTTAATGAATTGCAATTATTAAATAATTGAACAACCAGTTAATGTATTGCAACTAGATATAATAACTCTTATTTTTTTCCCCCGCATATTTAACCCTAGATATAATGTCTTGTGGCCATTGTGAATATAGAATTTCCATCGCCAATTACAATGTTTTGTAGGATAGAGATTCAGCCTACCTCAAACAAATAAGCTTGAGTGAGAAATTACGACTAATAATTTAAGGCGTTAGTAAAATGTAGAATTGAGGCTTGCGTCACCCAACCTTTAGCATAAAAAGTTTATTGTTGTATTTTTAGGACATGCGTCAGATGATCAGATACGTAAGTCGCATAGAATCCCTGATTAAAGTTAGAACGTAGCAGAAAAATAGTACGGCACAAAGACCAAAGGAAAGTGGTCACAGTTAAGTTATACATTCCATCATCAAAATAGTATAGTATTTGAATCATTACATCTCACAAAAAGTTGTGGAATAAAAGTACAAACACGATCCTTTATTTTTAATTGTCTAAGAATTGTTATGAATTGGATTATCTAATAACGCAATCATATAAGAACAATGTTAGTGCGTAAATAATAGCAAGCTTTCTAACATTTAAACAATAGCCTTTTAAACAATAAACCATTAGCGCCCAGGGCGCTCCATGACGTAAAGTTGAGCCCCCAGCTACGGCGGAGAATGGAATAACAAAAGAGCGGGCCATATGATTTAATGACTAGTCAAACACGCAAATCGAGAGTATTAGCTCCAGAATTTAATATTACATTATTATCTCTCCACAATTATTCGTATTAGATTGCGCGTACACTGAATATTATTTAAATCTCTTGGCAACCACTAAATTAGCGAGCTCAATTTTATGTGATGTAATAGTGGCTCAAGATGGCACACAAAAAATTTTTTGTTTCCTAAAATGGTACCTTCCCCGAACTTGGCAGATCGTCTGGCAAGATCAACCTCAGGTTTATAAATAGAAATAAATCGCAATAAAGTAGACAATTTCCTATTTAGACACATTCCCTTCCGCAAATCTCGCATGAATGTCTTATTCAGCACAACAAAACACTATGTATAGCAAACGAGGTTGTTACGCACGAAATGTAAACTGGTGAATAAATACTTGATTACCGAATGACTTATTTAGGAGTGAATCTTTGAACTATTATTATCTTTTAATCATCATGCATAGACAGTACAGAATGTCAACCAATCAACCCGCCATGTAACGTCATCTATTCTTTGTGCGATATTGTTTCTATTTTAATTAAAATTAACTTCATTTTTTCCCTGATCAGCATTTGCTTGGTTTTGACATAGTATAAAATACTGTTTAGGAAACCAATTTTCTTATAAAAGCGGCAGAGGCTTCGACACGTCTTGACCAGAAACTTGACAATTTATTGATTAACATTAATATTAACAAAACCATGAACCGCAATTTACTGTTTCTATTCTTTTTCTTGGCTTCGATTTCAGTCATCAACGCTGTTCCGCACCAACTCAATAAAAGAGCTACCGAGTTCAAAAAATGTCCGCCAACTCCTGGCAATCCTGTTGACGTCACGGAACTCACGGTATCTGTAGTGCCAGATTCTATCGTTTCTAATCAAAACGCTACATTTACAATTTCTGGGACTGCAAAAGTGGATATTCCCACGGATTCCGAAATTTCGATCGTTTACAACAAGATTGATGCACGTGGGCATGTTATAGGCACACCCTTTTTTGCCTTATTTTGCGGAGACAACGATTCTTGTCCAGTTAAAAAAGAAGATAAGTTTACTCGAACGCTTACAGCCGAAGCACCGACATTACCCGCCGCATATGCTGTGACAATCATACTTAATACAAGTGATCCAGAAATAGTATATGGCTGTGCACTAGCTATAGTCGGAGTGTAAAATCACTTGAGACTATCGAACAATCTTCTGATAACATTTATTATTGTGTGTAAATTCAATTCATAATTTATCATATCAGAATTATACGTACAATCAAAGCATAAACATTGACATAGTTACAAACAACTTCATATTGTTTTCTATATTATCGGTAATCTTTAGAGATGCAGAAGAAGTAAAGTTTAAAGCGAAGTTTTATAAGAGTTTATTCTTATTATAAATAAATTTGGTATTTTCGGCTTATATAATTTTAGTCACATGACTAAAAATAAAACTTCAATCCTGCCAGTCACACTCCTATTTGAATTCTTCAACGCAAACTAGCACGGAAATCTGTTTAGAACAATTTAAGATTTCATTGGGTTTTAATTGCTTAATTACCACGCCTATATGTCGTTGACAAATAAGTCAAATAACAATCCCAAAACTACAATATAGATTACTATTATCCAACAAAATTTCAGTCGAACTTCAGCAGAATGGAATTTTTTAGGGAAAAATAACAAGAAGCAAGTTCAAAAATAGATAAGTAAACATCTTAGAAGACTAGATAAAATTGTGGCCTTTGAGCAAGAAAAGAGAAAGAATTTCTCATTAGATAAATTTTAAGTGTGTCAAAATATAGATAAGAAAATAGTGGCATGGCAAAGGCTCGGTTTTCTGATGCCCGAAGAGGGCTGTTCGTCTGAACGGGTAATGAATTCCACTTGGCGTAGATAATCTGCTCGGCTGTCTAACGTCCAAACGTGGGTGGGCGCGAATGACTCCTCCCGTTGTTAAATTAAACGGACGAATATTGTTGGATGCCACAAACCACGCCACGCCAATGAAAAAAGTTTGGGTTCGTTTAATGTATTTCAGAAAAAAGGGGCAAAATCACATGGTAAAATCTTCCCCAAACGTCAATCAAACTAAATTTAGAAACAGTAAGACAAACCCTTTTTCCCACTACATGACCGCCAGTTATACTATCCAAAAAGGCCACAATGTTTGAGCGGTGTCTGTTAAAAAGAGATTGCGTGTTCCACAATATGGCCTGACACACTTTCTATGCTACTATTCGAAGGGTATAATACATATAGCGAAGTATCATTCGATCTATTTGTCAAAAACCATAATACCTCAGATCAGGTGAGTGTGCCTAATAAAGACCTCGAAAACTCAGATCAGGCGATTTGTCCGCAATCACATGTGTACTACATACATTTACCAGCCCATCAATTTATGCTAGTACTTAAATGGTCTCCCAAAGTAATATCAGTCACTAATATGTCAGCTAGCACTAACTTTAACGAATCTATCGGCTGTTTTTTTTTTGTTAAGAAACGTCTCCATTATAACCAACTGTTCTTATTTGCAGATCACCAACTATAAGCGGTTTTGGTCTGTCATTCTTGTATACCAACTGTAAAAACGGTTTCCATTTATATGTGCTTCAACGAAATCGTAAACGCATGACATACGATTCGAAATGGAAGCCCACTTTTCACATTGTTTATTGATCAATTGTACAGTATTTGCCCAAGAATGACAATTTATCAACGATACTACGTAGAAAGACAAATGTCTCTTCTGACAAAACATAAAACCCACCTAAATTCCAATAGTATCCCTATCCCTTTTTTTTTATTATTTTAATCGCCTATACAATCACCATGTACATGTCTTTAAAATTTGTTCAATCAGAGAAGTCATCAGTTAAGCCACAACCCGAACTTTGAATAGAAATTGTTAAGTTGAAAACAATGAAAATAAAAGTATTGCGTTTAACATTCTCCAATTCATTTCAGTTGATGCCAGAACACCATATTATTAGCTCCAAAGCTGTTCATTTAGTTTTATAGGACTCACAAATGTGAATCCGTCAACACAACAATAATGTCAATGTCCCACTTCAGAAAATCCATCATCCCTCCCTCATGATTTTTACTTACGTAACAGCAAGTTGGTATGATTGCTGGTAAACCGAACATTACAGCAACGGCTGTTTCATTTTATGTGAGTTTTTGCCAGTATATTAGAACTAATGCATAAGTTACATAGATAAACTTCGTACACTATATTTCCAGTTATTTTTTTTTTTAATACTCATAATCTTTGCTTGCTTCCTCGATCGTATTATGTCAAAATTATTTTCTTAGCATATCTTATGCTATTGATGCAAATTGTAAAGACAAGAACTAAAACGAGTAATGTTACCATCATCACTACAGATATCATCTCTAATGTTAAAGTTTCCTCCCGCAGTTGCTATTCCGCTTCAGAGAACTCTCAAGCGTCCAATTAGAACGTGTAATACCGGTGAAAATAAAATATAGTTGAAAATTTTTGTTTTGGGAATTATAGAATTAGAACGTTGAAAAAGAGAGATTTAGACTCATTGCTTATGACACATTTTCTGAAACAAATTATTTGCTATTCAGTATATTATTGATGTTGTACCTCAGTTGGGGACCTGTCTCAGTTCTGGATTGAGACAACTAAGTTCTAGAATGAGTGAATGGGTTCCGAACTGAGACAGGTCCCAAACTCAGACACAACATTGACAATGTATCATATTTTTAATCGAACAATAAAACAGTATTGCATAACAATGTAAACGTATTAATGCGTTAATATTAACCCGTTGCATATTAAAGAATTGGATGAAACATTTTAGTCGGGGAATAATGTATTGAGACCACTAAATCTTATACATGCTAAAACCACGTTAACTTTGAGTTAACATAATAGTTTAAAAAGGACTTGCATTGATACAGAGAAGACATATCAAAAGTGAACTGATTTATTTACGATAATATCTAATATGACATACAGATAAAACCCTCTAAGCGCACACCTCTAATGCACACCCTCTAATGCACACCCTCCCTAAATGCACAGTTTGGCATAGTCGGACCAGTGATAAATGCACCCTGCACGTGCAATAATTTTTTGGTCCGGTATAGATTTTTCAAAAATGGTTTCTCGGGAATAGCAAAATAAATTTTTGTGATTTTTTCTTTTTTTATCCATTCTTCGAAACGATTGATCAACTCTATTTTTATAGGTCAACTGATTGTTGAAATCCAACCCTGGCGACAAAACTTTTCAGCATCCCCTACGCAACGTATTCATAAGCTACAATATTATTTTGTTGCTATTTTTAAGCTTATTTAAGATAACCCACCCCGTATTAAATTTACGCTTGAAGCTAAGATTCTTAAATAGATAAAGTCACACTACTGTACGTCTTTTATATTGCAAGGTAAAAATCACGACCTATTCGAGAACACGTTTACTGGCTGACTACGAGTCTATTACTATAGAGCTTATTCACATTTTTTGACTACTAGCCTCGCTTCATTCACGGAGAGAGATAAACGTTTGTCCACAATATCACCATTGCTGTCATTATATTATAACGAGACGGCTACAAGCTATTTTGCACCAGAAGAAAAAATGTTAAAAATAAAGTGATGATATCCAGAGAAATTTATTGATTTAGTGGGTTAGAAATAAACTTAGTTTATTTGTATATACAGTACAATTGATATAAAGGCTCAGACTGTTGAATCATAAACGTGTATTTAAACCATGGAGTGCAAAATTGCGCGTTAATTTTCATAAACTATATTTCGCGTTTTTCAGATAGAAAGCATACACACACGCGCACAAAAAAAATGCTGAGCAAAAATTGCTGCTCCAAACTCTCATAATTCTACCTCACTTCGATCTTAAGTTCCTTCCAATCAATGACCGTGGTAAGGTCATCATCGAAGGTAGTGTATCCATCGCTGGAAGCAGTATTCCATTGACCTTTGACTTTCACAGGTGCACTACCGCTCTCCTTCTTGTAGCCACTGATCTTCCACTGAGTGTCGTAAAATCCGCAGGTGATAGGTTGAACGTATTTATTGCAGATAGGACACTTGCAAAGATGCTCTTGCGCAAAGAAATCAAAGTTGCGTTTACCCCATTTGTGGATAACTCGACTGCCATTATAGGCTTTGCAGGAAAAGTTGGTACAATTTCCTTGAAATTGATAAAAAAATCTTATCGTTAATAAAAGTCTTAAGGTAACTTAACACCATTTTTTAGTATTCACCTTCAAGATTCAACCCCTTAGTTGCAATTCGCCAAGCAGGAGCATCCGTAGACCATTTCCTTTTCGTGATAGCTTCTTGTCTTGGATCAATGAAGATTCCATGACTAATAGGAGCTCGGTAAGAAATAAGCCCGGGGGCAGCAGTAGCCGCGAGAGCCACAGGAAAAATCTGTCTTTCTTCTTCATATTCATTGAACATTAACCGTAACATGTCCATGTTGTTCGTTCAGAAGATACGATTATAAGGAAAAAAGAACTGCCACTCATTATATAGTGCAACAAAGACAAGGAGGATGTTGATGTAATAAGATTTCGCATTACTTAGTGGGCCCAAACTCAGACACAACAATCGTTTTATGTCATCCTGAACTAATTCAAACATATGGTAGTTCTAATTTATGTCGATCAATTACTCATGCAAATTGTAAATTTACAAAAAAGGTATGGTTGATTTTTTGATGGGACGCTCAACTGGGGCATTTATTGATTCAAATGAGTAACGTTTTTGACCTTTTTTGTGTGTAATACACATAATAAAAAGAATTTTGCATTCGACTGTAGTATTTATTTCGTCATAAAGCTAATCCGAACATAGCTAGAATAATCAAATCATAGCGTAAACACAGTCCAAAAAGTATAGCTTGATTGGGCAATGGGAAAGTGAGAAACTGAGGCGTTAGCTTGGAGTGCGTGGCAATGCTAAATACGAAAACAATTAATAATTGCTTTTTTGGAAAGATTGGCTCATTTATTCTTACAGTAGTAAGTATTTATTAATTATGAAATTAATACACAAATTGCGTAAGTGTAATAAAAAAGAAATTGAAGACATGTCAGGTTAAATGGTAAAATGTAATGCAAGATGGAAGTATAGTTTGAATATTTCGATAGGACAATAACACACAGTTTTATTAGCATTTATTAGTGCATGCATGGGAATGATTGTTTTATTTTCATCACGAGCTAATTCAAATATAGTACTTGCTTATGTAGATCAATCATAAACATTAACTTCGTGTGAAAGGTATGCTATGCGATTGGATTCGAATAACCCATACACTTTAAATCTGATATTAACGTTCATTAATTTGGTAAAAAATTTAAATATTTTAAGCTTACCTGAGTTTAGTTTAATCGTATAGAAATGATAATCACTGGTGTTCGATTAAATCGCACATGGGTTCGACATTTATTAGAGAATAATAGAACAGAAAGTAGCTAAATTTTTAGAGAGCATAGAAAAGGTGTATACAAACTCTAGTCACTACAGTATTTCTTGTGCTTTATGATGATATTATTTATTATGTCGTTTACGTTTTATCGTCATTATGACAAAGATGACGACTCTTATGATGGGTGTGGGAAAAAAATATGCTCATAGATAAGATCCCCCCGCACGAAACATTACTGTTCTGTAAATATGTATTCGGACGACTCGAATGGCGAATAAGCATCAAGAAAAAGTCAAAAGAAGTTAGTAGCATGTCCAGGTGATGATGATGATGATGAAAATGTACCTTATGTGAAAAACATTAACTAAACTACACACAGCATAATGGTTAGTATTGTATGTCCGTTTGGAATTTATGTCATTCCGAATAGACATGTATGTCAGATTGGAATAGTAAAGACAAGCAGGTAACAACATTATAAAATTATTTATTGGCATTACGATACCAACACTACTTGCGTATAAACAACTGAGTTTGTTATAAATATATGCTATTTTAACGTTTGTAAGTTCATAAGGAATAAATAAACACAAGTAACTTGTGATATTACCACTTGTATTACGTCTTTATATTATATCGTTCGAATCTCACCTTATGATACAATAAATAGTATTACATACAACAATTTACTGCACTGTCGATTATGACAGTTAAATATGCTTCATATTCATAACGTCATATGTAGTCATGTCACAATGTAAACTCTGTCAAATCCCCAAACCCGCATTTACATACGTAAAACATTGAAAATTCAGAACGTTTATTTGGAAGACATTGCATGTACACTGTCACAAGAAGAATCGTATAACACATGTGATCAAAATAGTGTTTATTCTCACAAAAAACTGCACAATTCTATGCCAATGCCGAAGATTAGGAAAAATGGTGTGAATTTCAACTACTCACAGAACGGTTCATTCAATTGAAAAGTTCGATAAAGCGTACGTATAGTATGTTATATTGACAAACTCTAAACGTTAATTCGTAAGCCGTATATTGATCATCAAATTATTCGACAAATTGTGCACATACAGACAGAACCACAAGCCGTATGGTTGAATCCTTCGGCAAAACCATACAATTCGTCAAATTGTATGATTAACACAAACCCGTTTGATAACTCGACTCATCAAGCAATAAATAATGCATAATAACAATGGCGATAGTGAACAGTACATTGCCGTTCTACCATTCTGTTTATCGCTTAAACCAAATCCTCTACAAGAGTTGGTAGAAAATTGAAAAGCGCAATTTGTTGATTTTCACACGATCTGTCAGTATTTTAGCCCAAATTTGGTGGCTTAAACCTAGATGATTAAGTCTTGAATATCATTCTCCGAATTGGAAATTTCACTAACGTATTCAGTAACTCAAAGCATTCTTTCACATGATAATGTCAGTTAGGTGATATTTACTCGCATCGCAAGCAAGGAATATCACAATGATGTGCCGAGCCACGTTTATCTTGCTAACGTTTTTAGTAACTCAACCATATTCACAATGATATATTTACTTATTTGCATTCACGCACGCTATAAAACATACATAAAACGCACAAATAAAACACATACATAAAACGCGGCATAAAAGCCACCAATAGATTCGCTAACGTATTCAGTAACTCAAAGCATTCTTTCACAATGATGTGTCAGGCGATGTTTTCTCCGCACGAATAGAAGAACTACTATTACAAATCATTGATAACCTATTCAGTAACCCAAGACATTTATTCAGTTTGCACAAGAGACGTTCTTTATCCAGGAAATATCTTAACTTGTTTAGTTATTCAAAACGTTGTCTGTAATCGACACGTCACAATGATAGCTTAACTGAACTATAAATCGCAAGTAAACCTGTCATTGTTAGTAAATAAATAAATATATAAATAAATTATATATTTTTTATCATCAACCAGTCATTTTAATTTTGTCTATTTATTTACTTTAAATTTTGAGTCACTGAACGATGAATAAACTTACTGACAATACTATAACAAATTTGCTTACACATTCTCAAATAATAAAGTGCATGAAAATAGATTATGCCAGTTAGAATGCTCTTCAGGTATACTTAACATCCAATATTCAACCACTAATCTTGAAATAATCGAGTCTGGCATTCACTATACAGAGCTGGAAAATATACCTCTTAGAAATGTGACATTGCATAAAGCCGCTTCAGCTCAAAGTTTGGTCAATTTAACCAAGATTAGATGTAGTTGTAAGACTAGTTGTTCAACGGCTCGATGTGCTTGTCGCAAAGCTGCTGTCATTTGTAACGTAAACTGCCACCCTCATAATCATCAATGCAGTAATGTTAATTAGGTACATCGTTGTTCTGTGTATTCTAACATGTTTATATGCAGTAGAGTTAATATTGTAATGTCAATAAAATAATTTTATAATGTTGTTACCTGATTGTCTTTATGATTCCAATCTGACATACGTGTCCATTCCGAATGGACATACATCAGTTGCACTTGTTTGTTCTCATATGATTACCTAAAACCCATGCTTTATGTTCTTAGATTAGACGTGCCAATTTTGTTTTTGCTGGAGACATCTAAATTTTATAGGTAATCAAGTTTGTTATGCACCATATGCAGGAAATTTTTCAAAGCATTTACTAATTTTTGTTTATTTATTTCAACAAATTAAAGTAGTTAGGATTATACAATAATACAAAATACAATATTATTCAACTTGCTTTCTCATAATAATAATAGGTATCCTCTGAAAAATTAATAACAATTAATTAATAATTATAATACATTGTCGTGCCGGGAGAGCAGAAAGTAATCGACACTTGGGAGTTAACTAGTCTCGACGGAGCGTGACGCCTCCTATTCAAGTTAAATATCTAAGGGTACAGTTAAGGACCTTGTCAATGTCAAGGCTTTTCACTTATGGACTTTTTCACCGTAGAATAACGTTTTATCCTGGATATAGAATCGCTCTCGAGTGTATCGGCGGTTATTATCGAGGAATTAATCCGATAATCTCCCGTTTTGGGGTACAATGGTTTATCAATAAGATTGAACGCATTCAATTAAGTATCTTAATTCGCCACTCAGATAATTGCGGGACAAGAGGCAATTATTCTTCGTTGATATATGGATATAACGGTTTCTCAGATATATCAACTAATTTAGAGAATAGGGTCGATAATATAGGTTCAGAGTAAATACGATATTCGTTTATTAACAATAAATATAAATTATAAGGAATATAAGGATCTTAATTCACTATGCAAAACATTGCGAACATAACACGCCGACTCTAGCTGAGACTCCTACTGCTTATATATCTTTCGATCAGTCTAATTGAACTATTTTTAGTCGCCACTTCTAATATTTTATTACTACTTCTCCAGTATACGATTTATTTGCATTTGCACCGCTGCTTCAGTGGTGCTGCAGTGGTGCTGTACAACCCGTACTATAAACTTTCGTACGACTGCACCGTTTGTACTCGTACCACTGTTACCGATTTCCGCAGCTGCGTTGTGTTGGTGTTACCGCTGATTAAAATGTTGCTGCGGCATCGTCGGAGGAACGCAGAAATAGAGGAGAAAATACGTCACCGATTGCGGCGCATCACAACATGAACTTACAAACATAACAAAGACATCATTAATACATCACTATTAGATAACCCTTCACATTAAAATTAATACCAAATGACAAAGTTTTAGTGAAATACAAAATCATGTCGGCTACCATAATAATAATTTGTGACTACTGTGTGAACCAATTTTTAATCATTTTTCCTATATTCTTTTTCTTATTATAATAGCTTTCAAGATAGCTTTGTGCATCAACATTTCCTTGTTCAGCTGCTGTATGATACAATACAACTGCCTTTTTAAAATCTTTATCTACTCCAATTCCATGTTGATAGCAATCAGCTAGATTAACTTTTGCCTTAGCATTCCCTTGTTTAACTGCCTTTTGATATAATTCAACTGCCTTCCTAGCATCCTTCTC